AAAAAGAATCATTGTCTATATGTTTCTGCGTATAAGGCTGATAGACAATGCTGCTTACTTTTTTTTTTTTAAATCATGTGAATTGCTCTAATTCTTTGAGTTACTCCTGTGTCTCCAAAGAGCCCGTGTGATGAACTCTCTTTGCCGATTCCCTATTTCCTCTTCAGCTGGCGTTTGGGGACGGCAGAGGCATGTACCTCTGATTCTGGTGTCGGAGCAGGAAGGGAAAGGGAGAGTTTGGGTAAGGCATTTTGTAGGGGAATGTGGAGACGCTGCTGCAGAAGGGAAGAGCAAGCTGGATGAGCGTGCAGGAGCGAGGTTGCTAGGCTCTGCGGGTGAAGGGCTATGGTATGTGGGGCTGGCCGGCTGCTCAGACCGAGAAAGCAGCCTGTGGCATGGAAACAGGCGCAGGACACGAAAGGAGGAAGGAACAGGAACGAGGAGGCAGGGAAGACCGAAAGTGGGGTGGCAAGAGGCAGAGGAAATGGGGAGCAGCAGCTCAGTTTCAAGAAGCAGCAAGTACATACCTGGGCTCAGTAGAGCGTGCCGCCATCTGGGATCTAGAAGGGAGCCCAAAAGTCCCAAACTCTGGGACTCCCTCCCAAGGGACCTGGGGGGACAGAAAGGACCTTGGAAATGGCTCCAGTCACGCCTCAGCCCGTTAACACTGACAGACTGCAATATGTGTATTTTACATAACATGATAGAGTTTCTCCTTTCCTCTTACAGTAGTGACTAGATTTGGCCTTGCTTATTGGAAACCTTTCATCCATCAAACGCTTCTTGGCAAAATGTGTATTTCATCACCTTTTATTACTGCTCCATATAAAACATGACTACCTACTGCTACTATTACTCCATTAGTGCAAGTAGCAGAGATCTATCCACTGCTACAGATTTCAGCTAGGCTAATAAGCAGTGTGGATGCCAGTATTGTGGTATGTGATGAATTTCCTTTTTTTTTTTTTGGTAGAAGAGATTTTTTTGTTTTGTTTTTAATCAGGCTAAAGAACACAAGTTTGCAAAGTAAAGCACTAAGTTATGAAATGCCAGAATTAAAGTTACTTCTGCTATCACAATTCAGCTCATTGTGCACATGCCTTTAGAAACACTAATTGCGTGAACAGACTTCACATGCTCATGGACAATGCTTCCTGTGTCAATATGTATTAAAACGTAATATATTTATTGTCTAATATGTGGCAATGTTTATTGCATGCTACGTGAACCTCACCTAGGTGACAGAATTTAATTTACTCATGAGTTTCTGTATGGTACTTCTCACCGTACTACCAGAGTGCTTCACAAATGTTTGCTTCTCACTAGAGCCACAGATGAATAATCTGGAGGCATTCCTAAATTAGACTGGGAGCTAACACACAGAAAATGCAAGAAAAAAACTCCTTCTACCTATCTTAGCTGCTCCATATGAAATGCTTCTGACTTTGATTTTTTTCAAAACTACTACATGCGTAGTCCCTGTGAATTTTGGTTACAGCTTTGTGTGCCCAGTACTTCATAAATCAGATGCAAATCTGAAGTTAGGAAAGAAAGAGCGTACTACTGGAGATCACTTGTGGAACTCTGGGGTTAAAGTTGGTCAGCATCATGTAAGAACACATTGAGGTGGGAGCAGGGATTGAATTTTTTAGGACAATGTAATGGTATTAACCATAAAATTCCCCCTCTCCCCCCCCTTTTTTTTTTAATCTGGCTTCTTGCCACATTCACTGTATTTGTCACAGAATTTGGAAATGAATCGGAGACTAAAGTCTTGATTCATGTATTTCAGCATTATCCACCTCACGTATTGAATGAGGCCAGAAACTGTAATCCTGGAATTTCTTGTACTTCAATGTCAACTTTGATATAATAACGTTCCTGCTAAGGTATTTTCTTTTGTATAATATAAAGAGTAAGTCATCTGGCATCTATCCCCCGACATGGAAATACGATATCAGGAATGTATACTGTGACCTGTGTTGATGATACTATCTATATAAAGTACACATTCCTAATAACATGTTCAAGAAAGCTATAATCTGGACCATTACAAACACTTGTCTACGCTAATTTACAACTCTCATCTTTTTTTTTTTTTTTCTCCTCTACTCAGGATATCCTTTTGCCTTGTTCCAGCGCTATTTCCTCTTCCAGAAGGAGACCTACCTCATTCATCTCTACAATGTGTTCACAGGACTCTCAATTGCTTACTTCAATTTTGGTAAGATGAGTTTGGGAAGAGAGAGCTGCCTGGCCCAGGGCGTGCTGTGGTTTGGGAGGACCTATAATGGGAAAATATGATTTCTACTTCACCTCTCTCTCTCTCTCTCTTTCCCCCCTCCACAGGGATGCAGTGCTTTCATTCCCTGCTATGTGTCCTAATCCAGTTCCTCATACTGAGACTTATGGGTCGCACAATCACTGCCGTCTTCACCACGTTCTTCTTTCAGATGGTAAAACTCTCTTTCTTACTGCATCGGTTTGTAGAAAGGAGCCCTCTGTTCAGTTTTGCACTTCCCACTAGCAACTGTGGGTGGAAAAGTGGAGACAGATCAAAACCAGCTGGAGGAATTAGTTTGAATAACCCAAACAATGGTTTCTTTCAGACATACCTTATGGCTGGATATTACTTCACAGCCACAGAGCATTATGACATCAAGTGGACAATGCCACATTGTGTCTTGACGCTCAAGTTGATTGGTGAGTGACACCTCCTTCCTATCTCTTGCACTATACAAGCTGTGCCTCAGGGAAGAGGGGACTGCTTGTTCAGCCCAACCAGCCCATCCCAGGGCTTCAAATAATTGTTTCTCACCTCTAGGTCTGGCCATCGATTACTATGATGGAGGAAAAGATCTGGTGAGTAAGACACCATTTCTCCTTCATTCCTCCTCCGCTCTTCAGTGCCATTCCAGTGAGCTAGAGGTCAGAAAACCAAGTTCAAAGGATGCGAGTTAGCAAGCTGCATTCATTGTTTGGTAAAAGCCATAGCTGAGAGGGGGGAGCATCTGTGAGTGTCTGAGGGCACTGAATTCTGGAGTGGAAAGAAATAATTTGGAACAGAGACAGTAGTGATTAGAGATGGACAAAAGTTGTTTCAATCATGTCAGAATATTATTCTGCCCCCCTCCAAATTCCCCACCATCTCCTTCCCCCAAATCTGTTGCTTTAGATTCCCGATCTCCAATGCTCTGTGTCTTGTGGGTAGAGTACCTTTAACTTGCAGACCATCAGCACTGGATCTCAGTTGCCGTCTTCCTTTCCTTTGTTTAGTCTTACCATATCCTTGTGGATGGTTACCCTTTACCGTTTGTTAGGGCCCTGTTTTTAGAGCAGATGAAACAGTGAGAGGAGTTGCATGGCACAATGTGTGGGAGAGGGCAGAACACTTGCTACAGTGTCTTAATCCTACTTCAAGTATTTGCATTCCCCATCTCCTGTTTGGGGCCTGACCCAGTCTTTAGCATCCATGGAATCACTGCTGACTGCAAGAAAACAAGGTTGAGATGAAATTTACTAAGCTGAAGTTTCAAGTATTGAAAGACAACAAATTCTTGCATCAAGAAGTAGGAATTGTAGGACAATAAGGTCTTGGGAGAGTACATGCGATTGCAGTCAGGGCCTGGAATAGGTCAGGTACAGTGCTTTTACTATGCTTGCTATGCTGGCAGGGATGCACGTCAATAGATCCCTTCCATGTTTTGAGCTTATCTGGGAATAGAGGTCTGTGCAACTGGTCTCAGCCATTGCATCTTGTTGCTATTTAGAGGGGGTGGGGATAGAGAGGGCTGGGGAATTTGGAGGGAAAGTTCCATATACATGGAGAGCAAGAACTGAGACCATTAAGGAGGTAGGCTGAGAACATAACATCCAGAGCTAGTATGAGATCCCCTAGGATGATGTTAATGCCACTCCCTTTGGTGCAGGAGTTCCTGACCCCCGAGCAGCGGCGATTTGCTGTCCGGGGAGTTCCTACCTTGCTGGAGGTCTCAGGATTCTCCTATTTCTATGGTGCCTTCATGGTGGGGCCTCAGTTCTCCATGACAGACTATCAGAAACTGGCAAGGGGTGAGATGACTGACGTTCAAGGACAGAGACCCAATAGGTAACAAAAAGCCACTTAGCTCCTCACCTTCCTAAGATCCCAGAATGCTGAATCCTCCACATGTTCCCTGCAGCAAAGTGCCTTCTCACCTGGACACTGAAGTACTTGACCAAAAGTGACTTACAAGACAAGGCAGTCTTTCAAAAGTTGCTCATAACTCTCTGCGTAATGTCCTAGTGTTGTTCCAGGGCATGAACGTCAACAACCATTTGACATCTTTAGTACAGACTTGGTCCCAACCTGGTAACGTTAGCATCCCAGCTTCCAAACGAAGGCATCTGCTGCAGTGGAACGTGGTGACTCCCTATCGCTATCTCCCCTACCTCTTCTTCTCCACTTCTGTTTTTAAAATTATGAGTTCGAAGGTCTCTTTCCGAGGCTTTTCTTTGACCTTCATATTTTTCTTTCTCAGTTTTGTGCCTGCTCTCAAGCGCCTGAGTTTGGGTCTCTTGTTTCTAGTAACCTATACTTTGTCAAGCCTGTACATCTCTGATGAATACCTCATCTCAGATGATTATATGGTATGTATTCATTTGGCAGTTCTGGGGTCTGGAAGAATTCTACTGCTCTGGTGGGCAGTGGATCTACAAGAGTGGATTTTTATTTTTAGTTTTGCCTCAATTTAAGAATAGGATAAGTCAGCAACTAGTGATAAGCCTTTCCACAACTGATTTGGCTTTACTGCCTGTCCTGTGGATTCCATTTGATGCAGAACAGGAATGTGTTAAGCTGAACTGAACCAAATGAAAACTTTTATAGAGAATTAATCTTAGATGCTACTGTTGTTTTTGGAAACCTATGTATTTTGTGACCTTTTAATGACCTTCCATTTAACCATTACATGCAAGGACCTTCACTAGAGTAACTCGCAAGGCTTACCAGAATCTTTGAGGTTCTTGGAAGACTCTTAACAAGTAATTCCTACCTACAGATTATCAGTGTTTGTGTCAGTATGAATAAATGAGGGTGTAAATTCCACAATGATTATGCTAACCACAGAGTCTTCCCAAAGTACCTATTTCAGTGCAGCCAGGTATTACCAAAGGAAGGAGAATGATGTGTAAATTTGCATAAGCCAATAGCCTGGCAGTCCAGTCTATGTAGCAGTCTCACCACATACATCAGATTAAAATGAAAGACAGTGATGAGATCTTGTCTATCTTGTCTTATTATTGCCACTCAACTCCATTTTTAATTTTTATTCTATTTCACTCATCTCTGCAGGAGAAGCCTTTCTGGTTCCGTTGTGGCTACATATTGATCTGGGGCAAAATTATACTCTACAAATATGTAACCTGCTGGCTTGTTACGGTGAGTCTAGATGTCATTCCAGAAACAAAAGACAAATGAACAAAGATAGCACCTTTACAGCTACTTGGACTTAGCGCTAAACGGAAGTAAGCCAAATGTCTGGAGATCAGTGCAGGTCAGTTTAGCTTGCTTTAAGTTAGCAAAGGCTAGCTAACTAAAAAGCAGGCAGTTTTTAATCCATTTGTTCCATCTGCAGTGGTGTCTCTCCACTCAACACAGTGAGTTAGAGCTTCCCCAGCTCTGCCTTTCCAAAAAAAAAAGGGGGCAATGTTTTCCTCTCATCTTTATTGTGAATCTTTTTCCATAGGAAGGTGTCTGCATCCTTGTTGGTCTGGGGTACAATGGGAAGGACCAGAATGGAAAGCCTTTGTGGGATGCCTGTGCCAACATGAAAGTCTGGCTGTATGAGACAACACCTTTGTTCACAGGGACCATTGCTTCTTTCAACATCAACACCAATGCTTGGGTGGCCCGGTGAGCAGGACAAAATTCCCCTTCTGTAATGTGCTGGTAACATCTGTCAACAGAACCAAGATCCTAGGCTGAGAGGGAGCACTAGAGGAAGAATCTGCCAGTTTTCAGTTCTTACGCTCTTTCTTCCACGTTTTGCTGCTGTCCCATTTGAAACAGGTTACTGGGTCAGACAGATCTTTGCATTCAATCTAAAAGGGCAGTTCATTAATATAGGCAAGCAGTTGGTGGCAGCAGGAGGGCAGAGGCTAGAACGGGACCACAGCGAGTCCTTTGGCCTGCCTGGTCAAACAGCTGCAGAACTGCTCTAACAGCTGGTTCCTACATCATGCCTCTTGATGCTCCCTATGCAATGACTCCCCCGGGTTTTGGTTCGGCACTTGCTGGGGGACACAACTGAATTGTAAAATACCTTCATTTCTGTGTGTGTTGTCGGATGAACCACTTCTCCCCACTAGCTGGGATTTCTTTAAGACAAGGGCTGAGGTACACTGTGCCCTGGTAAGGGGAGCTGTCTTGCTGTTTCCGTCACCACAGGGTGTGCAAAGGCATACGGTCCCCTGAGCCCTGCACCTCTGACAAGGAGAGGGGAGGACAGACAATAAACTAGAAGCACTTTGAGTTTGTTTCTTTTCTGCTCTAGCTACATCTTCAAGCGTCTGAAGTTCCTGGGTAACAAACTGCTGTCGCAGGCACTGGCCCTGCTCTTCCTGGCCGTTTGGCACGGGCTGCACTCTGGCTACCTGGTGTGCTTTCAAATGGAGTTGCTTATAGTCATCGTTGAAAGACAGGTGCGCTTTGTCTGACTTACCAGAATGGGGTGGCCTGCGTTAGCCTTTCCCCGTGACTCTGGAAACTGCCACGCTGAAGGCTTTACTTGGATTAAATATGAAAAATAGCTGCTCACTTTGGAATTGGTGTTCAAACATGATATGGTTCTGTTCTCAAGAGTTCAGAAGGTTGCTGGCTTCTGCACAGGCAAGCCATAAATTCATTGGAGAAGCTGACAGGAAGAAAAGCGGAGAACTTGGCATATGTGTAGAAGGCAACTGAAGTGCTTGGCAGCTGGAAAGGTTGGAGGACAAGCACATGAGCTGAATGCCTCTGCTAAATCTCCCAATACTGAGAGAACAACGTTCCATATTTAAACTTTTTCTTTTAATTAAAACTTTGAGCAGGACAGGGTACTTAGCTACTTTTTTAGACTAACTGCTTATTAAAATTCATTTTACACAGCTGGATAGATACTTTGGCCCCAGAGCCTGCATATATAGCCATAGGACATCCAACTGAGAATTCTGTTTTTTCTTTCAATTAGGTCATAAACCTTGTTCGGGACAGTCCTCCCCTAAGCACTTTGACCTCCATCACTGCCTTGCAGCCCATCTTCTACGTGCTGCAACAGGCTAACCACTGGATGTTTATGGGTTACTCTCTGGTGCCATTTTGCCTTTTCACCTGGGACAAATGGATGAAGGTATTTAGTAGCCACAAACAGACAACGCATCCTTTTCCCTCCATGGGAAAAGTTCTTGGCTCAAAGCTGCTTGCTGATCCTTAACCCTGCTGTTCTCTTCACAGGTGTACAGGTCTATTTATTTCTTTGGCCACGTGTTGGTCTTCACCTTATTACTGGTGTTGCCTTACATTCGCAGATTAATTGTGCCACGAAAAGAAAAACTAAAAAAAGCAGAATAACAGCCAAAAGGTACGGTCATGCTATGCGGAGAGAATCCCACACTTGGACTAGGAGGTGAAGTAGGGCAGCAATATTACATCTCAAGGTAAAAGGCAAACATAAGAACAACAGAAACAAATCTAGCACTTTTCTCTTTTTCAGATTGTACCACCTGTGCATTTCTAGGAGTTGATTTAACACTCCGGAATCAACGCGTCACCTGCCAAGTTTGCTGTGTTGAAGTATGACTTTTTTTCAACGCGAGGAGGGGGAAAGAGAAAGCACAGGGTCAGAGACCCCAAAGGAGGGGAATGGAGTAAGCCTCCTTCCAGAGCCTCCACCTTCTGTCTGTTGCCTTATCTCTCTGCCGCCCTCCAGTGGACACTCGTGTCTCTCTGCTGGTATCAGATGATTGTAAAAACACTCAACGCAGGCACTGTATCAGATTGGAGCCACCTTCTGACTTTTCTACGTTTGTCATCCAAGATAAAAATTGCTCCTGGTCTTTTTCATATCGGCTTCAGCTCCTTTCCTCTTGAGTGCCTCGGTGTGGGAGTGTGAACTGTTGCACACTACTGAGTAAGGTGATTCTACAGGACTGAGTAACTTCAGCTGCAGGGTAAGCAGGGCACAGCTAAAAATTTCAGTTCCATGACAAATTTGGGCTGAGTCCCTGCTATAAAGGGATCAAGCCTGCCCATGTATTAAACATGAGAAAGTAAAATACACAAGCACTCTTATCAAAAGTGACCTTTAATAGGAGGGAAAAAAAGGTCAGTAGGGCAGTCCATTTAAAGTCTCATTGCTCCAGAAGCTACAAGGACAAAATTGAAGCCTTTTCCCTTCCAGGAGCCCAAAGTTGCACCAGGTCCACACCTAAGTAAAAGAGCCTCTCTAGAACACAGAGTCACTGTATAGAGGTCCACCATGACAGTAGTAGCAGCAGAAGCTCATACTACTCCCCAAACTTCCTCAAAGGCAGTAGTAATTTTAGCACATGTCAGGGCAGCAGAGAGGGGATAGTTGCTGATGGAGACCATCTTTTCTGTATAGTCAACATTGACCTAGAGGAAGAGAGAAGGAAAAAAAAATCATTAAGCTGCAAGTTTTCACTTAGTCCCATCTATCTCCATTGGTTGGAGAGGCACAGTATTTCTCCAAGGTTGAGCACGGGTACAATAAAACACAGCAGGACAACTGCTAGCCCTCACTAGTGCCCTCTCTCGGCAGGGAGAAAAGTCTCAAGTGTTGCAGCACTGGGCCTTTTTTTGACAAGCCTACCTGGGGGAAAAGAAGGGGAGGGAGGGCGGTACAGGGGGGACCAAGCAAAAAAGAGCAGAAAAAAAAACCCCCATACTCAGAACTAGACTGAAATATATGCTGATAAAGATTTTTACAACTCCAAGTAAGGGATACATGCACTTACCGAACCGTGGGCAAAAGCTCCCACAACAACGGCAACTGGCTCCGCTGTAGGAACTAGTTCACGCAGATCTGACACCTTTGGAACTGCAAAAGAGGTACCTATCTTCATACAGCCCACAGGGAGATGATCACTGACTGGATTTTTAATCACCTGCAGAAAGTTAATAGGGGCATAGAGGTAAGAGACCCTGCCACATAGCTAAGTCCATGGTTTGTACAAAAAAAAAAAGTCACTCCTACATCACCAGCTGCAAAGGAGGAATGTTGCAACATTACCTGTGAACAGTCAAAGAATGTTTACCTTCAACAATTTCTGAGGCCCATCAGCTGCTCGAACGCTGAGCTTATGCAGCAACTGAACTGATAAAAGAAGAAAATTAGTTAAGTTGTCTGTTCTTTTGCCAGAGGAATCCTATCTTCTACCTAGTGATCAGAGCTGAAGTAGACAAAAAGTCTATCTTTAGAGTTCCCAGCATCTTCTAAAGCAGTCCTAAGAAATACTGATCAGCAAGTTACTTTGCTGCTAGTACAGTCTCATGCAGGCACTCCCCACTGTGTTAAGGAACATATAGTTGGACTATGCATCCTAGAACTTGCAAAAAGACACTTTCATTTCTCTGCTCTTTTCTCAGTTTCACATTTTTAAGGTTGGTGCAACTTTTTGACTCTTCCCAAAATTCTTCCACCCTAACCGCCTTCCTGCATTTTTTTGTGGCTGAATCACTTACCCATAAGACCACAGAATCGATCAAAAGTTCTTGGGATTCTGGTTTGCGGATTGACTTCGATTAGAACATTCTTCTGGGTATGGATATAAACCTGCAGGAGACCAGCCCGATTCAGGGGGCTGTCCATGAGCATCAGGAGACTCTGAAATAGAAAAACACGCGGTAGTAGAAGTAGAAAAGGTGCAAGAGAGGACTTTTGGAAAACTTGAGGGTTAGGCCCCATAAATGCAGAAGGGACCGATGTTGAGGCAGAACAGAGTTCATCCAGCCACGCGAGCTCTGCTGCAATGCTGAGAGAAAGCAATCCTCTATCCAAATAAAGAGAATTACTAAACTTACAAACCGCGAACATAGTGGGTAAGGGCCAACTCGCCCCCGTTCCATGGGCGCAAGCAGACCCCCAGGCTGAGGGACGACCTCCCTCAAGCCGACCGCCCTGCCGCCGCCCCGAGCAGCCCAGGCCGCCACAGACGCTGCCCCGATCCCGCCGGCACCTGGTGGGTGATG